AATACCAGATGTTTCGTCACTATAAAACTTCTGTTGACTTTTACCTTTTTTCTTGTCGAACTTACCATCTTTTCGAAAGAATTTTCCCTTAACGGCCAAACCATCGCCCACCGTTGAAGGTTTATGCTCCTTCCCTTCGTTCAAGTCTTTAGAATACAAGGCTGATTGAACTTCTTCAAAGGTTAGGGACTCCCTTCCATACAAGAAATTTTATTTGAAGTGAGCATGTATTCTGGGCAAAACACACAACAAGAACAGTGTTTGATCTTCATCATCGATCTTCACATCAATATTTTCAAGATCAAGAATCAGCTTATTGAACATATCTAACTGCTCAACCAACAGTTTGTCTTCACTCATATTGAATGAATACAAAACTTGCTTTAGGTAGGGTCGATTCACCAGAGATTTGGTCATGTACACACTTTTAAGTTTCACCCATAATCCTGATGTTGTAGTCTCATTTGATACATATCGAAGAACCTTATCACCAAGGCTCAACAATATTGTGTTGTGGGCTTTCTCAATCATGTCAGTCTTTTCTTTTGCCATTAACGCAACGTTTATGGCTGTCTCTCCCTTCAACGCTTCAAAACAACCCTGCTGAACCAGTAGGGCTTTCATCACCACAGACCGAAGTCGTTCACTCCGGTGAACTTTTCAATCTCATACTTTGTTGAAGGCATCTTCTCTACGCTCACCGCACCAATTTGTTGTGAATCGGATACCTTGAAACAAAGTATAACAAGGTAAAACAACTAGGAACAATAAGGATTGGTTATAAACTGCTATTCATTCCTTTCACTTAGAAACAGGATTACAAGTATACAAGAATAATAAAATTACCTCTCTCTCTCTTGAAATGAGTATTTTATCTTCCTCTTTTTCCTTATGCCAAGATTGAGAAACTAGCATGCTATTTATAAGAAAAATAGCACACTAACCTAATGGGTTTTTTTTAACAATTATCCATTACAAACTAACTTAGGGTACAAGCTAACTTAAGCAAGGCCCAATTTAATATGCTAACAACCCTAGAAATATTGACTAATGCATGTTAGAACAAACTTCGACTACAACACACATTACTCCAGCAGCAACATACGAACATACTTTGACCTCATGCTTAATTCCTGTCGAACCAGAAGCTACCCTTCAACCATATTAGAGTCCGATCCAACATCTCACAGTTCTTTTCCTTGTGGTGCAATAGTTCAGATACATATATTTTTTTTTTAAAAGTGCCATTAATTTGAAAATATAAAAGAATCATACTAATATCATTTATCATATATCTATTGTTATAGATTAAAAGAGATCATATAAAAAATTATAACAATAAATAACACTAAAGGAGAAAAAATTAAGATAAGTGAATCTAGGGTTAATGATTAAGAATGTCTATTTCTCTTGTATGATATCTCTCCCTCTCAAATTACTTTAAAAATGTCTCTCAACAACAACAAATAGAAAATGTGGATTTCTAAAAATAAAAAACAAAAGTTCTGGTAGTTGATGTTACACTCTTTCTTCAAATGAAAGAATGTTTGAGAGAGAAGTTTATTACATAATCAAAAGAGAAGAAGACCTTTCTTCATATTTTCTTGTGGTAAAGGTGCTTTTCTTCATATTTACTCACTCATTTGTCCTTTAAATTCACAATACTATAAGAGAACGGATGCCTCTTAAAATAACTGTTCGAAAATGAAAACCGGGGGCATCATTTCTCCTCTTATACTTTTACCACGTAAGCATGTATTATCTTAGTAAATATAGAAATAATTAAAGGGTAATTTTGGAAGGAAAATAGGTCAGCTTAAACATCCATATCCTTTTTATATCTAATTATAGATAAAAAAAAATTTCCACTAAGTGTCCACTCATCTTAAATAACTGTGCATAAGAACATTTCATACCTGGAACATTATCTTCCTCGTAGAATGCCTTTAAGCATATTTCATCATCTTTTTGAAAGATGATTATTTTAGATTTCTCCCCGAGGTTGATCTTTCTCCTCCTCATCTTTGTTCAAATTTTGAAGAAACTTCAACATCTTCTTTGTCGTTCCTTGAAAAGAGGATCCTATTGAATATTTTAAAGATCATTCAACTTACTGAGTGCATTCTTTTGAAGGATTGTGTAGGAGTTGTATGCGAGGAGTAAGACGAGGATGATGATTCTTCAGTTTGAATTCTCTCATCTTTGAGTAGTTGAAGTGGTTTGTTCATCTTGTTTACAGTTTCCTTCATTCTTGATTTTTTTTTAAATTCATGAAGGCTCACATCTAATGATTTAAGAGTTGGATTAAACTTCCAATTATTAATTCTAAGATTTTTGTTAGTAACACAGTTTCCAACAAACTTTCCAATACTTTTGTAATTAGAAAATCATCCATGATTATCTTATTTACCCCGTGTGTTCATCTTCTCTTGTTTGATACTATTGGAGAAACTCCATATATCATTTCAAGATATCTCATATTTTCTTAGAGGTATTGTAATGATGAACTATTGTGTCATTTAAATACATTGTTATAAATCTTTTGGTTTTGCAATTTATTTCACATTTCCTCTTTGGTCTAAAGAAAGATGAGTTTATCTACTATTTCATAATTTACTTGACCAAAAGCAAAAATTGGACCATTGACTAATGAAGTTGCTCATGCTTTGGCAAGGAAGAATTCATCTCTCGCTAGATTTCATAATTTTATTGATATCCAAATATGTATTCAACAATTTTTTTATTAATAATATGAATTAAGTCTTTTTCCGTAAAAAAATAATTGCAAGACTTATCACTTTAGTATGAATAAATAAATAATTTAAATATGACAAAATTAAGTCTCAGAAATTACTATATCATGTCGTTTGTAACGGTTAAAAATAATATAATTATGATCGAATTTAATACATAAAAAAAATCGTCCATAATCATTGTGGACTTATGAACAAGTCGTGTGACTCTAAGTTATTTTGACCTTTTTGAAAGGATTGTGTCTGCCTCACTCTTTAGATAGTCGAGGGATAATCATTGTGAATTTGATTTCCAACCTCCTAATAGACAAAATGGATTCTCGAATGTTCACTCCTCCTTTTTGAGAGTCTGGACGTTCATCAGCTTAACTGAAAACTACCCTGCCCCCGGTAAAAATTGAGGGTTTTTTTATTGAAGGAAACTTCTACTTCAAGGCTCAAAGGGACTAAAGAAGGATTATCTTCCTTATATCTCCAGTGTTTGGGGATTTGAAACAATGTTTTACATCGTCAGCAGAGTTTTGCTCAAAAGCATACGACAAGAAATCTTGCGTTTTTTGGATTTCGTCATCCTCCCTCCAATTCTCTATCAAAGCAAGAGATTGGGTAAAATTGGTATTATAAAACATGACAAAGCATTTTATGAGTGAATACGAATGAATTTATTCAAGACAAACATATTTATTGCATTAATCATTTAAAACAAACAAGTTCTTACATGCAAATCATGCTTTTACAATCAAAGGAATAACAAATAAATGCAAGCAAATTAAAAAACAGCCTGATGAGCCCTCCTCTTGATTTCACCGGCTTGAAAATAACTTTCTTGAGTCTTCATATCCTTCAGCATAAATGTGTTCCATTTACAACTGATCTTCCTCTTTTGAAGGTCAGCACCTCATCGTCGATTATTTCTTGGACTTTTTCTTGGAAAATCTTGCATTCTTCGATTGAATGTCCCCTTGCTTTATTATGAAATTCACAACTGATATCTGAATTGAACCAAAGAGAACGAGATTTCTTCAAATGAAAGAATGTTTGAGAGAGAAGTTTATTACAGAACCATGAAAGAAGAAGATTTTTGTTCATATTTGCATTGTGGTGAAGGTGCTGCTTAGAAAATTGCCACTATAAAAACACTCACTCATTTGTCCTTTACATTCACAATGTAGTAAGAAAAGGGTTGCCTCTTAAAATAAATGTTCCAAAACAAAAACTGTTGCATCATTTCTCGTCTTCTACAGAAATGTTATTATGAAAAGAATATTGATCCTCTTGATGTGAGACATAATTATAAAAATGTCATTATGTGTGTTATTTATTTGTCACTTTTGATACTTTGTGTTACTTTGTCACTTTTGATACTTTGCGTTACTTTCACACTTATACTTTTCTTTTTTCTAGTGGGCTTAATACTAAATTTGAGAATGATTGCTTCTCTATCTCATTGATGATAAATTTTATATTTACGTATCTTATTTATTTTCATTGAAGAATATATATTAAATAACAAATAAGATCTATTCGTTATCTTCAAAACATTAAAAAGATTTTTTCTCATGACTTTTAAATAGTTATAGAGAGTTTGAGAATTAATTGAAGAGAAAATATGATTTGTTTTCTGGAACTTTTGTGAATATTTTCTTATAACTCTAGTAATATTTTGAAACAACTCTTAAAAATATAGTGAATTGAAGAGTTGTTCTCTGTTTAGATAGATTGATTTGATCGTACTGACTAAATAAATTTCTTTGTATCCTTATTGTTTTATCTTCTTGCTTATTGTGGATTTTCCTTAATTTTGAGTAAGTTTTCATATTATTGTGTTTCTCGTGACCATTTATTTTAATTATCATTGTTCTTTATTTCATACACCAAATTCTTTTGATGTGTTTAAAATTATCAACAAATATACTATATTTGTTAGAGTTTTTACTAGTGAAAAAATTTCATCCTATAAATTTGATCACTTGCCTAAACAAACACTGCAACTTTGATTGGAATTTTCAACCATCTAAATGATAATATTTGTTTATTGTTAACAACAACATAATACTTCTACTACAAAATTGAGTTTGACTGATTAACTCAATTGAACACTGACTTATAGTCTTTGATGGAAAACTAACTGAAATAAAATGAAAGCATGACTTGTGTGCAAGTTTAATAATAAACACCAATATAAAAGTTTATTTTACTAGCTTTAAGCTTTTCCAACCAAAGTCTTGTTTGTACAAGCCTAGCTTATTATATAAGGAGACAATTAACAGTTAATCCACCATCAATACAAATGGTCTGCCCTGTTATGAAAGAGGCTGCAGGTAAGCATAGGAAAGCCACCAAAGAAGACACCTCATCCGGTTCTCCGATTCGTCCAAGAGGAGTTCTTGAAGTGAAACCATTAAAAACTTTTTCATCTTTTAAGTGCTGCAGGAAGGAATCGCGATAGAACTCATTTTTAGTCAGAATCAATTAATAAAATACCAACTTTTGTCAACAGAGAATCAAATATGATTAAACTCAGATAGAAAATTACTTCTTCACCAAGAGGGGTTCTGATCGGTCCCGGTGCAACACAATTAGTCCTTATGTTATCTTTAGCCCATTCACATGCCAAATTTTTTGTGAGTTGGATCATTGCAGCTGCATTGATCAATTCAGTTACATGTATTAAAATTAACATTTACCGTGTCAAGAAATCAATCGATTAGTGATATGAAATGGTTACCTTTTGTTGCACTATAGATTGTTCCTATATTTAGTGATGCTACACCACCAACGGAAGATATGAAAACAATACTTGCAGACTCTGAAGCTTTAAGGAGTGGATGTACAAGCTGGCTTATGTGAAAAGCAGATTCAAGATTGGTATTTAACAGAAATGAAAAATCTTCTTCTGTAATATCCAATGTCTGTTTCTGTATGTTTGTTCCCACATTGTTCACCTAAATTCCGCACATAAAAATGTGTGCATAATGTAACAAACCAAAAACTATATATATGGTAAGACTAAGTTAAAGATTCTTTAGCTTAATATAAAGTTTCCAACAATAAATTTTGTATGTGTCATATAAAATCGGTTAGTTTTTATCTTTTTTATAAATTATTTTTATAAAGTTAGATATATTTTTTTTAAAAAAATCATAAATATTTTTTCATGTGATTTCAATTAGTATTAGTAATGACTTACAAGGATACTGAGTTTGCCATTGAACTGAGAAGAGACTCTAGTTATGAGCTCCTCTCTCTGTGGACGAGATGACACATCACAGACCGAACCAGTAACTTTGTATCCTTTTATGGTCCATTGATGCAAGCATTCATTGAGCTCAGCTTCGTTTCTAGCACAAGTGTGCACCGTTGCTCCTAGCTCTGCTAACTGCTCCACAATATCATATCTAGTAATCACAGTTTATATCACAAACAGACTCCAAAAGAAAATTGAGAAATACCATAAACCATTTATTTTTGTAGAAGACTTGTGAAGCATGATACTTCCAACACCTTGATAATAATTTTAAAAAATAAATAAATTAAATGTGATTACAAAGGTTGTTTCCGACACGAATATAGACACAGACAAATCTTTTTTCACATCTCATACTTAATAATTTGCAAATAAAAATTAAGCAGAAGAAGTAGAATTAATTAATCTGCAAGAAGAATAAAAGGAGAAGATTGTAACCCAATTCCTTTGGATCCACCGGTGACTAGAGCTGTCATCCCCTTCAAAGACCATTTCTTGCTTCTGCTGCTACTTGTGTTTCCCTCTGCCATTTCTCTCTTTAATTAACTTTTAAAAATAGCCAATAATTCCTTATCCTACTTGCTGATTTCAAGGGAATATATATAGAGAAATTATATGCTCTTGCTATTAAAAAAGTTCGGTCCCATTTCTTTTGATAAACAATTGAAAGGATATTATAATTGTTATATTTCAGATTCATTTACATTTCAATTTAATTTATGTTGCATTTGAATTTGTTTTAGGTTTTGATTAGTATATAAATCAATGATAGTTTTAGTTTGTAGTGGAGAATCGATGTATAATTAAATTCTAAAATTTTGTTAGAAAGGTCAGTTACAACTTTTCTCTCTTCTCTCTCTATCTTCATCATTCATTTTCTTTTTTCTTGTGCACTAATAATTAGTTTCTAGAGTTTCTGTTTCAATCCACGGGAAACATCAAGGAAAACACGAGTTAACATGAGACGTTTGTGATTGATTTCAGTTCTGAAATTCATAGTGAATTGAAATTCAAAACCATAACAGAATCACATTTCTTGATTCTGAGGGATTGGAAAACACAAGTGTTTGGTGAGATCTAAGTAAATTCTTGCACAAGATCGAAGATGAACAGTGGAAACAGTAGCATAAATAGAAAGCTTCTAATCTTTGATGGAAATAATTAGAATCGATGGGTGATTCTGATGCGTGTGTTGTTTGGCGCTTAATGTAACACCCTCCTAAACCCCACGGAGAACATATGAATAATCAGAGTAAATTGTCATGCATTTACAAAAGGGTGTCACACATAAATTCCAAAACATCAAAATCACCTGTCATGAAGGTGAGAAAATACTTAGAAGGGGGGTTGAATAAGTATGTAGAAAAACTTAGAAATAAAAACTCAAGGATTTTTATCCTGGTTCGTTGAACTCAACTACTCCAGTCCACCCTATCAAGAGTGATTTGCCTTTCTCAAACAAGGACTTAATCCACTATTAAATCAACTGATTACAATAGTAAGCACTAAAAACAATTGTTCAAAGTCTTCTTAAGAACTACTGATCCTAACTGGATCTTCTTAAGGTTCTTCTACAATCAAATGTAAGAATAATACAAGTGTTTGAAATGCTTCTAATAAAGCTTTATCACAACTGTGATTTTTCACTTAAGATGAAGAACAATGAAATAAATTCAGCAAATGAGTATAAGTTATATGAGAGCTTGTAATGAATTCTTTCAAGTATTTCGTCAACTGAAGAAGATGAATGGAGTCTTACTTTTATAGGCACAGAGATCTAAGTAGCTTTTCACGTTGAGGGCTGTGTACCAAAAAGGTCTGAACCTTTTTGTCTTTACATCACATGACCTTTCCTAGAAGTAGAATGCACAGAGAAATCCTTTTTGTCTGTGTTCTTGTGTCTAGCATAAAAGAGGAAAGAGTCGTTTGGCCATTCCAACGGACAACTTTGAGTTCTTCTTCAATAAGTTTCAGCAAGAGTCATCAGAGTGTAGATTGATCAGAGCCTTCTGATGTACATTAGAGTTTGCTGAATCAGAGTCTTTGCAGCAAGTGTGCTTTCAGCGTGTATTTGTTCAGAGCAGAGTTTATACTCAGATCCTCAGTACAGGCAGCGTTAGTACTATCAGAGTCTTCTGAAATAATTGTGCTTGAAACTCTTCATACATAATGCTTCAATGCTTCAGATGTTTCTGGCTTCTGCTTCAGATTCTTCTGTAGCTACTGCTTCAGATCCTTCTGTAGACAGCTCTCAGAATCTTCTAAGAGATGTTTCTGATGCTTCAGAGCCTTGCAAAATTTCATGTTCAGATCTAATTTGCTTCCAGAATAATATTCACTTTTAATATCTGCAGCAAACATTCTAAAACAAATCTTAGAGTATATAATTCTTTAATACAAAATTTCGTAAGAGTTATCATCAAAACATAGAGATATAATTAAGAACCAATCTGTGTTCTAACAATCTCCCCCTTTTTGATGATGACAAAAACATAAGAAATTTTGTTCAATTGAAAAATATAATTATAACTCCCCCTGAGATAAAGAATCTCCCCCTGAATTGAATACTTAGAAGAAATAGAAACTTCCCTTTTTGCATGAGTATTCTTTTCAAAATCAGAGTCTGATTGTTCTAAAAATATTAAATCTTGACTTGGATGAGTGTTTCAGAATCAGAGCCTGATAGGTTAAATTTGATCTGGGGATCTCAGAGTTACTTTTAAAGAATTTGACAGATATTTCAAATACTCTGAAAAGCTAAGAATTCACGTTAGTTAAAATTGATATGTCTGAAGTTCATTTAGGTAGAGTTTATTTGAACAGTCAGATCCATTTTCTCCCCCCTTTTTTGTCATAATCAAAAAGTAAAAAAAAACTTTTAAAAGACAACTAAAGGAAATACAAAAAAGAAATATTCAAGTAGAGAAAACACAGAGTCATTCATTCATTCAGATAACAAACAGACAAAAAGGTGAGATGTTCATATACCAGATGATAGAAAACAGAACAACAAAAAACAAGTGCAGAACAAGAATGCAAAAACATGAAAAAGAAAACTAGGGCTGGCGAGAAGCAATCAGGGTCAGAAGATCAGTAATCTTTGCAGTAGATTCTTCTTGCTTAGCCATCCAAGTCTTGATCTCTTCAGTAGTTTGTTTCTGTTTTATCATCCAAGATCTGATTTCTTTAACTTCTTGAACAACATCTGGAGTCTCATTCTTCATTTCAAATGCAGAAGGTGCAGAAGCAGATGCATCAATCTCCATGGCAGATGTAGGAGTAGCTTCTATCATTTCAGCATCTTTAGCAGGAGCATCTTCCAGAAGAAGCACTGGGGTTGTGAGAATGCTCAGCAGAGTCTGTCTGACCATTTCAGCAAACTTAGCCTTTGCATCATCAGCACAAAGTGTTCTAAGATCAGATGCAGCAGAGTTGAACTTTGAGATGAATATGTTCCAAGAAGCTTCAGATTCAGCAGGATCCATACTACCCATGCACTCTTTCTGTACAGAAGCAATCCCCTTACGCATTTCCTTCTTGAAATCCTTAAACAACGTAGAAACATCTGTTCTTGGTTTAGGATTCAGAAAGTCTTCTATGGTGACTTGTTGTGATGGTTCAGGAGATGTTTGGGTTTGTTCAGGAGGTGAGTGATCAGATGATGGTTGTTCAGATTGAGGTTGTATGGATGGTGGTTGTTCAGATGTTTGTGGTACGGATGTTTGTGGTGTGGTGAGTTGAGCAGTAGAGGTGACAACATCAGATGGTGTTGATGTAACAACATCAGATGGGGATGGTAGAAAATCTGTGAAGTTAAATTTGGAGCGAAGAGGGTGTTCAGAAGTAGGTAGGTCAGATGGTAGTGGTTTGTAAGGATCAGGAATCTGTAAGCAAGTTGGTGAGGGGACTTCAGATTCATCAGAATCAGATGATTCAGTTGAATGACAAGAAGTAGAAGATAAGACATACATGGTTGCAATGGGTTGCACATCCAGAATGTCTTCAGATTTTTTTTTGTGGTTCAGAAGATGGTTGTTGTTGTGGTTCAGATTAATGAGGAGTTTGTTGAGTTTCAGATGTTGGAATTGTTGAATCTTGTGGATTTTGTGTTGGTTCTGCAGTTTTGGTTATTTGTGGTTCTGATGGGGAAATTTCTGGTTGAGATATTGATTGTTGTTTTGGTTGTTGTACTTCTGGTTGGTTTTCTTGCTGTTGTTCTGGTTGTTGTGGAGTAGATATAACTGGTGGTGTTTGGAGTGGTTTTGTTGTTTGTGAAGGTAGTGATTCAGATGAGGGAATGTCAGATGATGGTTGTGGTATAAATGCTGTTTGAGTGGATACTAGAGGTGTAGGAGAAATAGGTTTAATGGGAACAGAATCATTTGGAGACTGTGATTCAGAAACCTTTTGTACAGCAGGTTGATCAGATGCAATTGTGTTGGATGGTTGTTCAGAGGGTTGATATGGATCAGATGATTTAGTTGGTTTAGAAGATTGAGAAGCAACATGAATAGTTTGATTTTGAGTGGAAGGAGGTTTGGGAACAGAACTAAATGTTGATTCATTCATAAAAATCTTAGCAAAGGAAGATACATAAGATTTAGTAACCTTAGTCTTTGTGCGCTTGGTAGGAACATAGGGAACTTCTTCAGAAGCTTTTCTCTGGATATGCTTTTGTGGCTTGTCAGCAACTTTTGGCTTCTTCTGAGCAACAACTTCTTCTGCCTCTGATTGATTTCTCTTTCTCATGTTCTCAGTATACACATCTGGCATGGAATCTCTGGCACGAATCAGAATATCTGCAGGAATAGGCGTTCCATCTTCTTTGCATGCATCAATGTACCTAACAATGATATCCCTTGGTTCTTCAGCACCAAACAGTGGAAAATCTTCAACTGGAATCCTCTTCTGACTAAGTTCAGAGATATTCAGCTTCTTAGGTGCAGCTGTGAGTTCATCTACAATCTTTACCAGACCATTCTCTGTCAGAATGTCTGAAATCAATCTTCTAAAAGGAATCCACGTCCTGATCTTCTGTCCCTTATCCTTTACAGTTTCTCTGGATGCATTGATGTGATTCCACATATGCATAAAGAGAATATGAGGCATATCTACTTTTGTACTTTGACTAAGACAGTACATTAAGTAGAGTCGTTCATTAGTCACATAATCTGGAGAATTAGTTGATTTTCTGTGATTGATGCATCCCAGAAAAATCTTTGCCCGAATTTTGTAGTCAGGTTTCAGATCCTTAAATTTGTTAGAGGCCTGTCCAAATGTAATGACTTCCTCATAGACTTCTTCCATATCCACACGCCCAACTGGCAGATGACACACTCCATCAGTTTCCTCATACCCAATGAGTTTCCTGATAAGATCTTCAGTGATGATGATCTCCTTTCCCAGAACAGAAGAAAGTATGAATTTAGGATAAACAAATGCATGTATCCAGAATTCCTTTACCAAGTGTGGATACACTGGTCCAAACAACCTATCAAAATATTTAACCCATCCTTATGCATCAACAATA